TGATATAGATGGAACCAACGAAGCAAATGAAATGATTGACCCATCTTATCATCCGAAAAATGAAAAATACCCGAGTGGACGTAACTTCCAAACAGTGAAACTTCCAATTATTCAATCCACTCAATATTGTAAACAAGTAAAGATATACAATCTTCTATGTAATAGAAATTCAGGAGTTTAATCCCCAATACCTCTAGAAGAACAAGAATTTGTCATGTTTTCGACTCTTTGATTTAGCTTTTTCCATCCCCTTTTAATTTTTTGAGTACTATCTGCTACTCTCATTACATCTACTTTAACTATGTGATGATCAGAAGTGCCTTTCGATGAAATCGCTGAGTAGGATCCAGGCACGAACTTGTAGGGCAGGCCCCGTGAACCCAAAATGTAATCAACTCTAGTTCCATACTTGCATGTCCCCTGTACATCTGGATCAAAGAAACAAATACATTGCTAAGATTTATGAAGATTTTGTCCAACTAAAATGTAAAGAACAAAATTAGATCACGGTATGCTTGGTAATGTAGATTGGACAACACTAGACAATGTTAACAATAAGATGCTAAAATTTTATTCATTGTACAGTCCAATACGGTCTAATATTACATACCAAACAAGCACAAGAAGTCTTGTACCTTGGCCTTTGGCAATCATAACCACTGGTTCACATTCCCCCGGAAAATATTTAGCATCGGTGTACTCTTTTTCCTTCAAGAATTTCGTTACTTCAGCTTTTGGCGTTGGCTTTCCCAGATCCTCGTAATACTGTTACGACGATAACACAAGAGATATATAACTTTACTTGCTAAATTACTTAATGAAATCAGATAGAGGAAGAAGAGAACCTCAAATTATTTACCTTTACAATGTTCATCCACCTCTCTGATGAATAATCTGATGCATCAAGAGAGTTGATGCCTCCTGCTAAAATATGGGGATGATCATTTGATTGGATTATTGCATTAATCTGTTTCATCCTCCAGTTTTCGTCTAAGTGATCAAGTTGGGTGCAGTAGAAATTTAGTTCCCCCGCCCAAGGCACATCAATTGTAGCTTTAATCACATTCCTGCATGAAAGAACAGAAATCTAAGAATAATGGTATTCGTCATCACTGCTTATGGGACTGCTTACCCATAAGCAGTGATGTGGCATTTAGATGGCTTTTATCTTAATCAGTTGATGCCACATCACAGAGCAATACTTGTTTAAAGCACAACATCAACAGGGTCAAGCTATTGAACACAGGGTCAGTAAATAACATGTTTCCGAACCTGAGAACCGTGCTTTAAAGGTCAGGATGTTTATAAGATGAATGAAATGGAAATGAAGATTGCTCAGATGGACATGCAGTCAGTCATACTAAAATTGATAAGATAAGAATTGAGAGTAAGAGCTAACAAACGGAGGTGGCATTGATTGAGAATAAACTAAAGGAATGACGACTTGGGTGGTCATGTTTTGCAATGACCTAAAGAGGCTCTCTTTCATAAGACGGTGGGACTTTGGTCGAGCAAATTAGATGAAGGGCTATTTTATAATTAAAATGGAAAGATGTACTTGCTAATGATCTAGTAGCCTTGAATCTCCATGTACATATATGGATAAATATAACAGAACGAAGAAGAGTTCATGTAACCGACAATAAATTTACTGAGAATAAGAATTTCTTGATATTGTTGTATGAGTAATTGCAAGCGGGCACATAACACGTATAAGCTGGAGCCTTAGGTTACATATGATTTCTACAACCTGTGCTAGGTTGAAATTGAATATCATAAGCGAAACATAATAAAAAGAGAGTTTTAACCCCCAAGAATACTGGAGAAAAATGTTAAAAATCACCTGAAATCTTTATCATCGTAGATTTTTTGAACCTTCCATTTCTTAATAGGCCATTTTGAAAGAATAGCATTGCCATACTCAGGAGCCCAGCTCTCAGCAAACACATAATTCATCCCCAAGGCACGAGCCAAATCGGATAATGGCTTCATATCTTTTTCTTCCTCAGCCTTCACATCTTGTAATGCCAATATATCTGCATCCACTTCTTTAAGCACATCAAATATGGTTCGACTTCCATACAAACTCGCGTCGTTGATCCAATTTGCCACAGGGAAGCATATGGGAGACCTCAGGTGAGCCAGGATATTGTTGTTGAAACTAAAATTTGTCGATGAATCTTCGATAACATTAAGAACCTTATTCTGTGCTAATGATATCTCATTTTCAGGAAGATTTATTGAAACTTTTGGTCTTGATTTAGTGAGTTTGTTCTCACTTTCAGAACCACTGATCGTGGGGTGAAGTGGAGATTGTTTGAGTATGCCCTTGGGACAACCATTTGCAGACTTCAAAGGATTCCCGAACTTCGAATAATCCTCCTCTTCATGAAAGCAGACAACTGATTTCTCAACCTTAGGAATAGCAGGTGCAAGGGAGAATAAGGCCGCATTGAAAGTGGCAAGTCGAACAGGCCTCTGTAAAGACGTGCCCCTCACTTGGCGAATATTATTTCGGGTTGCTGATTTTGTGTATGATTTTTCTCTAATCTGTCCTTTTGAATTCAGATTACCAAGCCTTCTGATTACAAGTTTAGGCCTCCGATGACGCCATATCAGCTGCCGTACCTTCAAGCAAAGGCGTCGAAATCTCCGGCTGATAACATACAACATCCGTTTGGCGCATGAAAGTTGTAAATGCTCTCTTGATGCCATGATTGGCTTCTAAATTCCAATAAAAATGAGTGATCCATTTTTCTGCTGATCCTTGAAAGGTAATATATAGAGACACGGGTTTAACAAAAATGTTGACAATATAATATATTGACAAAAGAAACATCCCAACTGCTCCAAAGACTCAGGTGGAGATTGACTATGGAGAACATTATTGTTCACCTTCTTTTTATGGCAACATAATACACCAACTCCCACCAATGAAACCAGGACTTTTCGCTACGCCTATAGGAATGATAGGTGTCAATATGGCCACTCGACGAGGGTACGGTCCCCTACATCCAGGCCCTACTCTGGCTCGCTCTAGGGGCGTGGTAGTCCACAACACAGCACATAGCTGAGCCATGCTTCGTGGCCAGCACATTTTGACACCTCTCTAAGGGAATCCAGAATATAAAAGCAGGGAAAGAAGCAAGTTTTCGAGGATTCTCCAACACTCTGTTTCCGTGAGAATGGAACACTGGAACCCCATAAATTAAATCAAGAAAATGCTGACCACTTATGAAACTGTGAAATGGTCATGCAAATCAATGTTCTTTCTACTGGATCCAGAGTTTAAAGGATTTTTAAAAAAGGTATCCACCTAATGGAGAAGGAGAATTGTTAAACCCCAGCCAGAGGTATAGCCGTGTTAAGCCCGCCAGGCCTACCTAGCCAGACTCGCATTTTGCTATCGGTCCACGCACGAGGCCAAGTCCAACAGTTCTTCTAATTTCTTTCGCTTGATATCCTCAGAAATTTTAAAAATGAAATTAAAAGGGCCCATCCCCAAAGAAAAACACACATGGTAATATATTACCAATTTCAGCAAACTAAAATGGCGTTTTGTGTTGGATAATTGATTTTCGTCTTATATATCAATAATAAGACTGATTGCAGATGTCACAAATGGTCGATCTTGTTGAGTTGTGTGGAGCCTGACTATACTGAACACCCAGCCACAACAGGCGAAATTTCACACTAGGGTATTTTGGGTATTTACTTTGTATTAGGGTTTTTCTT